TCCCCTGTACGTAGTAGAACGAAATCTATGACTTTTGTTAGCAGAAAACAATAGTGTGCTACTGACTGTCATGTGTGGGCGCATTCCCGTCTCCATTGAGCTTTGTAACGTTGAGGAATAGAGTCCGAGTTCGTCATTGTATGCTTTGACGACGCCGTGGATGGAGCAAGTGGTGTCAACAGCAAATAGCCTTATTAAGCAAGTGTTAGATCCGAAGATACTGCTATATTAAGAAGTTTCTTCACCTCGTGGTATTAACATATCTTCCACATATTTGCTGCGCATGTATGGACTTGCCTTTTGTAGAAATTTCCTCTCCAATATCTTCAATGTTTATCCACCCCAGGATATTCTTAATAATTCCGACGGAAAAAAATCGATAAAAATCGATAAAAGATTTTAAATATCTTCCAAGTAATTCCGGCAGTTTAAAGGGAGCATTATTATTAATATCTTCCGCATTTTTCCACATTATACCCAGTACATATATAAGCCAAGGCCTGCAGTGTGACCGTAACGACCCACCCTTCACCCACCAAAACCCCCAACGAGTCAGGAGGAGGGAGACTCAAAACCGCAGCTCCAATCCCAGGCACAACCTGCTGGGCATCCAAGAAGAAAACTCCCCTCCTAACTGTAAGAGCAGCACTGCCAACGCAGTAAAGCATTGCATGACACTCATCTTCAATCTCATCCTGACAGAAACGACACAACCTCAGAGCCCACAGAATTTCCTTTCGCTGGAGAGGATCCCACTGAAGGCAATTCACTGCTAGACCATGGCATGAAGTAACAAGCTACATCAACGCCTTGCAGTGTGCAGGAACCACAACATCCAGGTAGTGCCAAAACTTCAGCACATCAGACAGTTTGAGAGCAGCAGGATTAGCAATGCCTTTCTTCAACAGGATTGTTTTCTCCAACTCATCAATGTCCCTCTGGAGGGCACATGCGCACAACACCTCGACCTCAGCTATAAGATCTGGAATTAGATTGGGGTCGGTGAGGTGCACAGGCTTAAGCACGACAGGGAACGGAAGGCAGTAGAGTGCATAGGCAATGTCCCCAACCCAGGAAGGCTTCTTCTCTGCATGTAGGAGGCAAGTGTCATCAAAGGCAGCACAGGCATAGTGATGTGTAGGTAGTTTCAGTAAGTATTGTAGATACCGCAATGCAAGGATTATGCAGCGATATCTAATTGGCATTACCTGTCTCCCAAGGTCATAAATACCAAACAAGTACAAACAAACTACTCAGGGGCCATGGGGGTCTTTTCTTGCATATCGCGCATGTGAGCAGGCAAGCATGAACAAACAAACTTCCTACAGGCCATGGAGCTCTTTTCTTGCACATGGCGCACGCAAGTGAGCAAACCAGTGCAAACAACTGGTCTTTTCAAAACATGATATCGTCGTCTCTTTCTTAGCGCCAGCTCCAATGTTTACATACATAACTATGTAGCACTATAGCTCTTGAACACTGTTTCCTTTGTTACGAAAAAAAAGTTGCATTGTATTGGTGCAAAGCAGCATATTTGTCAGCAAGCAAGGTGCCTGCTGCTGCTGCTAAGTGTCAGCCTCTATAGTCTATTCAATTAATTGATTGGGAGAGTGTGCATAATTGCACATATATATTCACTAGAGTTTGACATTGTTCCAATGTCAACAAACACCTTGCTTGATCCATGGGTTGATTTTATTTTAATATATGTAGTTGATATTTTTATTGGATAAGTCGCATTAAAATTCTGAATTTAGAAAATTTGAGTCTCTCAGCAACGGATGATCAGCTTTGCTCTGTGTGCTGTTGGATGCTCCAGCAGCATCCGCACTGCCATCAAGTCCAGGCCTAGGATTAAATCTCTTTCTCTCACTAAGGTAACATTTTGTCGGGTGAGGGCATGCAGAGCTTCATGGGATATGATGTACTTATACCACTGCCTCCAACTGTGCCCAAGGCTCAAGACGACAGCAACTCAATATTAAGGGCTTGGACAAAGAACGATGGCGACTGAAAATGGTTGGGTGCTAAATACGGATCAAGATCAACCTAGCATAGATTATTTCAAGAGGGCTAGCTTATGTGTTGTAACCTGCACATAGATATAAATGAATTATGCATTTCATTTACTCTGTGTCTAGAAGTATATTTGCAAGTTTTTACGTCTATACTATTTAGCAATCTTTTACTCCATCGTAATACTCCCATCCCTTTCGAAGGTCACAGTGTGCACGACGAGACTGTTGGGGAAGATGACTATAGGGATATCGAGTCCGATATCATTAAGGGATTCAAATGAAGTACTCACTGCTAACGGGCGTCATCTGTGACAAAGGATT